CGTGGAGAGGCATCGCCCTATCCCACTTCTGATGTCGGATCAGAGAAATCACTTCTTTTGCAATTAGGCATACTGGCAGCACAGCAAGTCCCAAGTGTCGTTGTAGTCACACACAACTTATATTCTTAGGAGCACGTCCGTTCGCTATGACTTTCACTTTTCGAATAGAATGAATGAATGAATGTCATTCCACATTCTTCTCTGACTTTTAGAACTGTTAGTGAACACTCACTCGGGCCATGCTCGGCAGAGACTATCTTCTTTGTCTCACACCATGCTTTCAGTAGCAACCCTAATGCAAGTAGGACAGTTATGTTGAATAGCAGTACCTTCTGTCAATTTCTCTGTTTCTTACTAACACTTAATCGTTAACCGTCAAAAATAATACTCACAATAATTTGTTGGATACACGACATATAATTACTACGTTTCGTGGCGTTATTTTATCATATAGGATTTATAGGATTGATTTAAAATAAAATGACTTTGCTATTTCTTTTGGCCTTACACAATGTTCATTTATTTAAATTTAATCTTAAATTTTCTTTCAAACCGCTGACCAAATCGAACTCCCTGCTATACATTTGGGCAGCAACATCATCGGTGCCGAATTTCGCCACACGTATACATAAACGAGGCGAGCACCGTTGCTGCCCATCTGCACAGCTCCATTTTTTGGGTCAACGGCCCAAATGAAGGCCAAGGGCATATCCAAAGGCAGGCGATCCGCGCTCCCTATCTATAATCACTTAGGAGTGAATCGGGCGGCCAATAGCAATCGCCCCTTTTGGCCGCCATCAACTGCGGCAAGAAAACTCCATATGTTAATGGGCACAATGGCAAGATCCGTCTCCGTCGCTCTTCTGGCCATTCTTAAGGTATGCTGTGTGACAGATGCGGCGCAGGCTCGATTCTTCATCGTCCTGGGTCACCTGTCTCCGAAGCTCATATAACTACGTTCAGCATACATCCAACATTAACACAAAATGAGACTACCCCAATATCACCTGTTATCGCAAGATGCCTTTGTCATTGCGGCTACCACCAGGCTACGAAAAACGGTCGCGAACGCTTCGCCATCATGTCAACGTGACTGACCGCCATCAACTACGACAAGAAAAACTTTTTATGCTCAGTGATATTCTAGTAATCTCTGCCTCCGTCGTGCTTCTCGGACTCCACTACACGCTGCGCGATCATGAGCCACCTACTCGTGCCACATAAGCCATCAGCGGTGTGGATCCTAAAGCCAAGGGAAACTTTTCCTTGTACTTGCATTAATATTTTAATTATTTTTTTTAGCTCTGCCGACTTCAAAGAAGCCGGGTGCTTCTTCAAAATTGGGCGCTATATTGTTATGTGGGTGCTTGTTTCTCGGCAGGCCGCGCCGGCTGGCTCATCGGTTCTCTGGGTGTAGTCCCATCCCTGGTCCGCAGTCCGCACAATCGATATCAACAAAGCTACAACGTCTATAGCAAAACAGACCTACACAACACTATTCAAAATAAACCACATAATCGATAACAACAAACAGTCGGAGCTTCTAAAAAATGAACGACACTAACAGCTGTAACAACAAGAAAATGTAAACAACAAAGGTGAGACGCTCGATATAAATTAAAAAAAAAACACTATTTATCCACTTTACTCTTCCAGGTCGGGCCCCGGTTCCGGACCCAGCGTACCCGCCCTACCTTAGACAATCACCTAATCTCGTCTCCCTCATTTTGGCCACTAGATGGCCTGCATCAGCCCGTGTCGGCTGTTATGCCCACTCTCCCCATCAATTTAAACTTAGCCGGACATTCTTTTCCTTCAATATGTGCGTATAATTGGTTGTGTTTTCTTATAATTAATAACAATTAATATCATTTCTTACTGCATTTATCTTTGCAGCCATTTCCAATCTCATGCAAGCGGACATTTTCCTCAACTTCACAGGTGCGTATAATTATTCGTGTATTCTTATAATTAATGATTACAATTAATGACAATTAATATTGCTTCTATGACCGGTATCTCTGCAGGTTATCTCCGCACAGTTATTTACGTTCTCATGCACGTGGACATTTCTTCACGAGGTGCGTATAATTGTTCGTATATTCTTATAATTATGGACAATATGTATTAATTTCAAAAATTACTCTTCTTTTTTAGCCGAACAACACTAAGAAAGGGAAAGACGTCACCGAAAGCTAATACCAACCGCCGTTGGGGACAACGTGGGATAACAAATATTATGAATATTAAATTGAGCGATTGGCTCCCCACTCGAGCGCGCATATATATATATTTATACTAGCGGGTATAACCCGGCCTTGCCCGTAGCACGTATGTTATAAAATCAATGTTTTCAAAAAGCTTTGAAAATGATTTTGAAACTAATCGGACTTAAAATTCACCGAAAACATCTTTGAAATGCATTTTCCACCACAGGAGTTTAGATTTCGCGAAAAATGTGAAACACGTCTCAAATGCTTTTTCTTATAGATCTTTGGATTTTCAAAGCTCTACATACGAACTTAATGAATACGTATTTTAGCGATTTGGGAAATTCCACCCGCAGCAGTGGTTAATTGGCGGAAAAAGTTGTATGAAAGTTTTTTGTTTACGATCCGATCGGCCCCAAACTTATTTTCAAAGATCTTTGTTCAAATTCATTTGAGGGGTGTTTCACACTTTTCGAAAAATCCGTTCCTCCTTGGTTGGAAATGGGGGTCAAAGATTTGGTGGGCGACGTTTCACGCTCAAATTCGTTTCCAGAGATGTATAAGAGAAATTATTTGAGACGTGTTTCACCATTTTTGCAGAATCCAAACTTTTTCGGGTGGAATGCGACTCAAAGATTTTTTGTGCGAAGTTTTAAGTTGTGTCTGATTTGCTTCAATCTTATTTTCAAAGCTCTACATAAGAATGTAATGAATACGTATTCCAGCGATTTGGGAAATTCCACTCGCAACAGTGGTAAATTGGCGGAAAACGTTTGTATGAAATTTGTTTCAAAATCATTTCAATTTTTTTTGAGAACATTGATTTTTAAACATACGTGCCATGGGCAAAGCCGGGCTATACCCGCTAGTATATATATGTATATATATACATATATATATATATACATGGAAAAAAATTACATGTTGTATAGAAGTTTATATAAAAAAGAGAAATTTCAAACCGCTTAGTACGCTACCTACCTACAGAGCTCTCTGGGGCGCTAAGGGCGATGGAAATAAATGATTTTTTTGTATATATGTATATATGTATGGATCGTGTGGAAACGAAATTACTTCGTTTTTTTTTCTTTTATTGTTCTTAGATGGCAGTCGCAATAGTGTTTGGGGACGTTCCCTCCCGTTACATGATTAATTGTTAGTTTTACCAGGTGAAATACGCAAAGTGAGAAATATTATTTAATTTATACAAAAACTTTAATCTATGAACAGGAAAAACAACTGCAGCTTGATGTCAGCAGCACGCCGTCTCTGGGCTGGGTCTGGGGAGGGGAGTGCTTGCAACGGACTCACTTGACTATCGCCACGCTTCCCGACTTTGGTCGTCGTCGTCTCGCCCGCTGCAGCTCGATCTTGGCGTCTCCTCTCTTACTGCTTTAGGATGGCTTTTCCTCGGCCTGGAAAATGTATGCTCGTTTTGTCGAGTTTCATTCAAAGTTTCTTTTTTTTATCACAGCCTAAGATTTACTATGGCCCGACAAAGTAAATTAACATTTTGCGCTGCCCGATGTATTTTTTTTATATATATATATATATGTATATATATATTTACGACGTTGCGTGGCGATATTTTATCATATAGGATTGATTTTGTAAATTTTTCCGGCACCATTTATTAAAAATAAAAAGACTGTGCCATTTCTTTTTAAATTTACGTTCAAAGGTGTGCGCACAACACGCTTATCGTTAACCGCAGTCCAAACGCGAATCCCGGTGCAATGTCCTGCATAACACCTCCCGCCCAACCGACCGAGGGGCGCAGTCGTGTAACGTACGAAACGAGTTGCGAAGTAAAAAAGTAAACAAGTAAGAGGTTGTAGTCGGGAGCTCCCGACTAGGGGATACCCTGAACCCTCTTCTCCCAACGGGTGATAGGTATAAAATGAAAGATACTTGATATATATATACTATTCTAGAAGCTACATGGCAAGCTTGGTGACTCTAGCTCATATAATTTGCCGAAATTGCTCAAAAAGAGGATTTCGATATCGATTTTTATCGATTACTTGGATCTGTACGGGGACTAGGAGGACCTACAGCTAAAATTCAAGTCTCTAGCTCTTATAGGTTCTGAGATCCTTGCGTTCATACATACGGACCGACGGACGGACGGACGGACAGACGTACAGACAGACGGACATGGCTAGATCAACTCGGCTATTGATGTTGAACAAGAATATATATACGTTATGGATCGGAGATACTTCCTTCTGCCTGTTACATACATTTGCACAAATACAATATACCCTGTTTACCCATTTTTAATGGGTTCAGGGTATAATCACAAATAAAAATAAGACTATCTATTAGCTAAATAGTTTAGAATCGAAGACTTTATTCGAGGAAGAGAAGACTCCAAACAGAATGGGCTGTAATGCTTGTTATAGTCATCACAGAGAACTCTGAACGGTTCATGCAAGGCATAATTAGTTGAGCAAATTGACGGCATTGCCGGCCTCAGAGGGTATAATACAATCGGCTATTAATGCCGATGAATTGCAGCTAGAGCGCAGCCTTGATATGTTGGAGCAGGCATTGGGGCAAGAGATGGATGATGCGCTGCACGCTGCAGGGAATGAAATTGAAATACAGCAGCGGCTCGCAGACAATGAGTCAGTGCAGCTGAATACAAATGAGTTGCAAATGCAGCATGCCCAACGGCTATGCGGCAGCAGCACTAACAATATACATGCTACTAATACTAACAATAACAACAATATATATAATAATAATGATAGCGATATTGATAATGATGAATATGAATTGTTTTTGTCAACTTACCTGCAGAAGAAGGCGGAAATGACTCCCTCGTTGGTACATTTAGTACAGCCTGGCCCGCTTTCCTTGCGGCGGCAAAATGAAATTTATCCATCGGTGCAGCCTGAGACTGAGCCTGGCCCGCTTTCCTTGCGGCGGCATAATAATAATGCTTGTCCAACGATGCAGCAGCAACTGCAGCCTGACCCGCTTCCTGGGCGGCGGCAAAATATATTAATGGCAAATTCCGAGCAGTTGCCACTGGATATGCCTGGGCTCATTGTGGAGCGCCAGGTTGATAGATGTCCAACGATGCAGCAGCAGATGGAGCCTGGCCCCCCTGAGGAGCTGCAAATGCAGCTGGTGCCTGTGCAGGGGCAGCCTTGGCCATCTGGGCCGCCATTGATGGATGAGCATGAGCAGCAGCAACAACAATCGACGCCTGCAAAACGAAAGAGTGAGAATTCAATACTGTCTGCAAAACGTAGATGTACTTACCGAATGGCGTCAATTCGGAGGCGACTGCAAGGGCCGCTCCAAGATGAGCTGCTGCCTGACAAGTGGCAGTGGCAGCAGCAGCGTATCGGCCAGGAGGCACTGGCAATGGCCGGGCTATATGGGCATCTGATGTTTGGTACAGCAGCCATACCTGGAAAACGAAAAAGGCAAATTAGACGGGCTCTGCAAGGAGTAAAAAGAGTACGTACCTGCCTCCCAGCACACGCGGAACAAGTGCGGGCGCCCCTGCAGACGGAACTGCAATGGTCAACGGCCATGCTCCGGCCTCGAAGATGTCCAAATTGGCTGCCCGAGCGTGGCCTCTATGGAATCCAAAATGCACACTATGTGCATGGCGCTCCTATATGCAGTGACTCCTGTATCCATAGTGGTGTCCATGAGAAGCGGCAGCACAATTCAATAAGCCAGCGGAGGCGTCGTTGGAGGCGGCCGAATGCCTACGTGAGGCTTATTGCGCATCAGCAAATGCATGCGTCGGCGCCTGTGTGGCGGCCTGCACATGGCTGGCGGCGTCTGGCGCATAGAAAAGCGCGTCCTTTAAGCGCAATCATTAGATTAAATTATAACTCGTTAAAAATCTGTAAAAAGAAAAATTTATAATTAGTTATATGTTAGCAAATCAATTTATGTTTGTAAAAAATGCGACTTACCTCTGTTGAAAAGTTTTTCGGTCTGCACGCTGTGACGAAAATGGCTTTGCAGAACATCTGTAGTCAAATCTAACTGTATGTTGCGTAGCGTTGCCACCCATGCGGTGTTGCCACGCTGTTAGTTTTTAGTTGTTAATGCAATTAGTATTTTAGGGAATTAGTACTTTTATTTGTTTTAGTATTTTAGTATATTTATTGTATTTAGTATGTAAGTTTAATGCAGACACATTCTATGTGTCTAACAACATGTTTACAGAGTTAGGATACAATGTTGCCAAATAATGTTCTTATATGTTGCTAAGTGAAAGTAATGGAAAAGAATAAAGCAAGTCACGGGGGAATTTCATTCCACTGTTGACCTATATTGTGCTTGGATGCACTCAACTAAAACTAAAAACTTAAAACTTAAATAAAATCAACTTAAAAAACTTAAAAACTTAAAAACTTAAACTTAAAACTTAAAAAAAAAAAATAAAAAAAAAATGCACTCAACTTAAAAAATTAAAAAAACTGATTGCGCTCGGACGCACTCACCTATTTAAACAAAATAAAATTAAAAGACAATAAATTAAAAAACAAAATCAAAAAATTAAAAAATCAAATAAAGCCATTGCGCTCTTGCAGTGCAAGTGCAATTATTGTGGCACACAAACACACAGACAAAAATCAAAAAGAAGTTAAAAAAAAATTAAAAAATTAAATAAAGACATTGCGCTCTTGCAGTGCAAGTGCAATTTATGTGGCACACAAACACACATACTCGGCATAGGAAATATATTGTGCGTGTAAAATATAAAAATGCGCTATCGAATTAAATAAAAAGTATGGACAAAAACGCGAATAAAAGTGGGAAGCCCTCTGAGGAGTGGCTAAATAGAGATCCTGAGATTGTGCAGGTGCAATTTGGGGATGTAAATCGTGTGCATAACGAGGCCAAGCGTCTTGGATATGTGCCGGCAAATATGGCAGCCG